GTATGTCTTTACCTGCAGACTCCACCAGACAGAAATACCACTGGCATCTACAAATCACCCAGTCAATGCTACCTGTCCTCTCTGGAGGACGGAGCTTGTGTGGCCAATCACAGCCACAAAGGAGCTTCTGGTTGCCAGGTACTGTCACTTAAAGCTAGAAATATATGGGAAAGCATTGAGCTACGGAGGCCAAGAGCACAACCACCCACTTCATTTCTCCAGGGCATCCTGAGTTCCTTTTGCTAAAGATGAGAAGAAGCGTCAACAAAATACAGTCATGGGCTGAGCAGAACTCTTAGAAGTAACAACAGGAGCACAAATGGCTACATCGGGACTTGCCTAATTACTTCTAGAGCATTACCAATTTTGAAGGAAATTACTCTTACGTAGCATAAAAGCAGCTAGTAATAGAGATGGCATAACCAAATATTTTCACTGGTTTTAAAATATTCTCTATAAACTTTGGGCCTCACTGATTCTCTCCACTCTCTTCTGCCTCCTCTCCTCACCATCCTACGTTCCTCACCCCAGTGGGCAGGGTCACCAGAACACCACTGGTTGGGGCACAGTGCGGCACTTCTAGAACCATCTGTTATTCTCCTGGCAGGTACGTCTGTGTCTGATATTCATGACAAAGTGATATTCAGAGGAACAGACACTGTCACGATAGAAATATGGAGGTTCTTGGCCAGACGCACTGACCCATATGGGAGGTGGGGAAATGTGTACTGACCAGCAGAACCAGAAAGTTCACAGCGAGGGGCAGGGCCGCTCCAGAGCCCGTTCCCTTCACTGTCACTTGTGCAGCGGATGGTGCTCTCCCCAATGAGACTGAAGGTCATCCCTCTGTCTGGGTGGGAGTCGCATGTATAAGATATTTCTGTTCCATAGGGAATGACTCTCAGAGAAGTTCCTGTGTGGTTTCCATTAAGAATAGCTGGAGGATTTGTACAAAAGATTTCTAGAAAGAAGACAAGAGTGTTAGGTTCCAGCAGAGTTTCAATCAAAATGATTATACAATATTGGTACCCTGGGACTGTGTTATAAATACATTCCGTTTTGAAAAAATCTTTTAATTGATTTCAGAGAAAAAGGGAGAGGGGGAGAGAGAGATAGAAATATCAATGATGAGAGAGAATCATTGATCCACTGCCTCCTGCACGCCCCCTATTGTGAATTGAGCCCACAACCCAGGCATGTGCCCTGACCGGGAATCCAACTGTGACCTCCTGGTTCATAGGTCGACGCTCAATCACTGGAGCCACACCAGCCAGATATAAACACATTTCTTTCTATGATAATATAACTAAGGTGGATGCAATTTTTATATGTAGAACATTTTTAGAGAAGAAACTGAGGAAGGTGAGACAAAGCTTGCAGTTTATTGCAAACGTCCAAAAGACCCTCCGGGCAGCTAAGATTTTAATCAATTTGAAAGGTAATTAAGTTGTGTTTTTTTCAGCAATTATTTGATGTCCTACTTTACGTCAGACTTAGTAAGAGTCCTGGGCTGACAATGCAATACAAGATAAACAAGGTTTTGGGTCTCAGATGTCTGAAGTTCCAGGGAAATCTCTGTGAAATTTGTGAAATGTGGACTATCATTTGCAGCCGATGTAAATGTTTCTAGATGACTGAGACCATTATCATCAAATACACCGCAATGCCATCAGAACGCATTGATTCCTACAGTCAGATGAAAAGGCACCGGGTAGCCTTTTCTTTCTTCTTCTTTCGCTTTTTTCTTTCTTCCAAGATATCAGCTGTCATTTTTTCCAGCTGTTAGTGTATCTATTTTTAGCAATTCCCTCCCTAAAACTAATTTGATGCTTCTAAACTGATATAAATTGGGGAAGAGATACCCAAGCTTATCAGAATTGTATGTATACTAGGAAACAAGTGAAGGCTTTAGTACATCAAAGAATAATTGATTTGTTTGTGTTTATCCAAAGTTTAATTATAAATTTATTTTTCAGTTTTATGTGTGTTGGGAAGGTTGAGTTCGATGAGTATCTGAGTTTTATACATATGGAATGTTCTCATAAAGTTCCACCATAATCACATAAGATGAACAAATAGATTTCTCGCAAGGTAGTTTATCAAAATCCAAATTAAAAATGAATATTTTTCAATCATCAAAAAATGGTATTTTAAAAAAATCTTTCTTTGCTTTAGTTAACAGAGTAGGCTAAATCAGTTATGTCTTGGTGTATAAAACACTTTTATCTATTTATCAGTTTCTGAATCTTTAGCATGTTTTATTTAAGCAAGTGGTTTGAAAATTCAGGGCACCTCATCTCATTTCAAATATTGACTCACCTCCCTGTACCATACAAATTTATCATATAACACTGTGTTTTTTTTTAATTTATAACACATGAATTTTAACATATTTTATGCATTCAATTGTTATGTTTATTTATTTATTTTGTTGTTCGTGGGCAACCTCCCTAAGTAGAAAATGAACTCCATGCCTGGCCGGTGTGGCTCAGTGGTTCATCATGGACCCATGAAGCATGAGGTCAGGTTTCGATTCCACGTCAGGGTACAAGCTTGGGTTGTGGGCTCGATCCCCAGTAGGGGGCGCACAGGAGGCAGCCGATCAACGATTCTCTTTCATCATTGATGTTTCTATCTCTCTCTCCCTCTCCCTTCCTCTCTGAAATCAATCAAAAAGTGAACTCCACGAGAACAGGGATATGTCTTCCCTATTCATTACTCTCCCCACATGGAAAGTCTTGACATGTGGCCCTTCCTCAGGACTAAATAACAGGATGGATGAATAGTTTAGAACAGTGAGAAACTAAAAAATAAATGAATAAATACATTTTGGCAGACCTTTGTGCCATCTGGTTTCTCCCTTCATATTCCCCATAAAATTCAGCACTGGCATTAACCTAGTGACTTATCGGTAGCAACATAAGCACAGTGTATAAGATCTACAGGACCTGTTTTTTGTTTGTTTGTTTGTTTTTTAAATATATTTTATTGATTTTTTACAGAGAGGAAGGGAGAGAGATAGAGAGTTAGAAACATCGATTCAGCTGCTTCCTGCACAGTCCCTACTGGGGATGTGCCCCAAACCAAGGTACATGCCCTTGACCGGAATTGAACCTGGGACCCTTCAGTCCACAGGCCGATGCTCTATCCACTGAGCCAAACCAGTCAGGGCTACATGACCTGTTTTGAAATTCTTCCAACAAAATGTGTTTTTGTAAGTAATTTGGTGAAAGATCCAGATGACAGGTGAGACCATGAGACACAGCACACTGGAAATAGAAAGGAGAGCTACCCAGGTTGCATACTTGTTCCTTCTACTCACGTTCACACACAGGGACACTGCTGCTCCAACTGCTTTTCATTCCGACCAAGACACAATGGCTAACAGAGCTGCCTTTTAATCGGAACCTAAAATTAAAAAGGGGGAGTAGCAAATAGGTAAGCAACTCCCATCTCTTTCTTCATCGCATCCCTGATAGATACTCAGGTTGCTCCCTTCCATCTAAATACCATTTGGCTCTTAGGTTGAGGCCCAGTTGAAAGTCTGTTTATTAGGGACCTGAATTCAGCAGCTGGCAGGAACTCAGAAGCCAAATTATGCTAAAGAATCACTGTATCCTGTGATGGGCAAAGCCATCAGAGATGGTAACTCAGTGGTCCTATAGACATCATAGCCCAATGTCACTTCCAGAAGTCACTGAACACAGAGCTGGACCCCTCTTGAGCCCTGGACCCAAACCCCATCTCACAGACAGCTCTGTGACATCCCACTTATTCTCATCAGTGAATCACGGGGGAAAACAGCTCTCCATCTGGGTGAGCAAAGCAGAGAACATTTACAGAGACTTGACATTGTTTTTCTTGCCACTACATTTGTAATGGCCAGAAAGAGGCTCACAGAAACACACTGAGCAAATGTTCTAGGGACAAAAGGATGAGGCGAGGAGGCTTTGTCTCCTTGAAATACCCAGATTATTGTTGAATCCTGTTGACTTTCTAAAATATGCTCACCATGACTGGGTAGTAGACTTTGTACACATCAAAGATTCCTAGGAAACTGATAAAATTAACTGCTGTATTGCTCAATCTTGTTACCTCCACAGTGAGTGTATACTACTCAGAGTCTACTGGTAGATGCATATAAACAGCTAATAATAGTAAGCAAAACAATAACATTGGCCATATGGTCCCAATGTCAATGACATTACCGAAGGGAAGACATATAATTGGATTAAAAGCACTTATCCATAAATTGTTACAAATTGTACTACTGATTGATTTGGAAGTTTCCTGAAAAAATCCTTATTTGACTTATCACATTACAAATAATTTGTCTCATACATTAAACTTTTCATAAACTTCTACTTCCTGCCTCTAAACCGCTATTTATTCATATACTTCAAGTTACAAATGTGAATTCAAGGTCAGTTTTATTTATATTTTTACTCAACATTGAATGTCATGCTCCTTATCTCCTGATAGTCCTGCTACTAAGTTTTACCACTTATATCAAAACTGCTCAGGCATGAATATCCCTGGGTGCTTCGCTTCCATAGGTCTGTTCCCCTTTTTGGATTAACCCTTGAACCAAAGAGGGTCACTATCCCGGTCACACTCACCCCTCATCACAAACGAAGGACACTTTTGCTCCAAGCTCAAAGTTAAGTGGAAAGAGCACACGGCCATTAGGAAGTTGGTCCTTGAAGGCAGCACATGATTTCACTACAGAAAAATAAATGAGGAGTAAGACCGCCATGTGAGGTGCAAAGACATTCATCTGCAGAAAGGATGAGAGTGAGTGTAGGCACCTGCACATCTGGGGGCGGCCGGGCTCCAGTCTCCCCGGGGCGTACAGCGCAGAGAGGCGGCCCCTCTGAGGTCATAGCCGGGCTCACAGCTGTAGAGCACCTCCTGCCCAGGGGAAAAGCTGTCCTTGTCGCTGGGGCTGTGCTGGCCATGCAGGATTTCTGGAGGCCGCTGACAAACTGGGGGAAGAACAGACACAGCGTTCCTGTCAGTTATGGGGGAATTTGCTACACCCTGCGCCTGCCAGGGAGCTTAAAAATCCTAATTACAGAGTACAGGACTGAAAAGAATGGGTAGTTTCACACCCACCTTTTACAGAGGAGCAAAGTAAGGGCACAGTTCAGAGCTGTGATTAAAACCAAAGGCTCTCTAACCCCTTGTCTGTGATTTTTTTCTCCTAAAATGTTCCCAAGACAACAAGCAGAATGGGTTTTTCTGCTTCCCAGGCCTGGCCATCCAATCCAGCTGAGTGCTGGAGGCTTGTTCCACTCTTTACTTCATAGGAGGCAGCCTTTCTGGCAACAACAAAGGATACCTTTGCCCAAGTCTCAGCTAACAGACCCATCAGTCAGGCATCCCCCTTCATGCTTCCTTCCATCTCCTCTTTCAGAACCATTAGCCTCCTCTGGATCCCTATGTGCCAGCCCGGATTCTTCCCACTCCATGCTAAGCCAGGCATTTTAGCAAAGAAGACAAAAGAAGTCATCGAGAGCAAGATCCCCTTAAACACACACCCACAAAAACTATACACTGTTTAAAGAGAGACCATACTAGTACAGGGATGGGCAAAAGTAGTTTTACAATTGTGAGTACAAGAAATACAAGTATCCATATATGTATTACATATATACATATATATATGTATGTATAATGATTTCAGAGAGGAAAGGAGAGGGAGAGAGAGAGTTAGAAACATCAATGATGAGAGAGAATCATCTATCAGCTGCCTCCTGCACGCCCCCCTACTGGGGATAGAATGCCCTTGACTGGAATTGAACCCGGGACCCTTCAGTCTGTAGACCGAAGCTCTATCCACTGAGCTAAGCCAGCTAGAGCTTATTCTAGTAATATCATTTATTAATTACTGTCGTATTCATTTGTATTATAACTGTAAACCTACTTTTGCCCACCTCTGTCTTGCTTACTTGGAGCATATTTTGACTCAAATTTTGGCAATCTCCATCCACAGCCCAATTGGCAAATTTCAATCTGAACCATATAGAATTGAATACAAATTACATATATAGTATATTTGAATTTGAGCAAGTCATTTCCCCTATCTGAGCCTCCAAGTTTTCAGCAAGAACATGAGGGAGTTGACACAGAATGATTGAAGTCTAAGGTCTTTTGAAGCTGATGCTATAATTTTGGTCCCCATTAGCCTCCTGACCTCTCCCCCCAGGAATAGATCTATGCCATTGTTCTCATCCATTACTGTTCACCATACATTTCACTAGGCTTTGCAATCAGAAAGGCTCCTGAATTCCAGCCCTTGTAGTTTCCTAGCGCTGTGACCTGGACAGTTATTTAACAGATCTAGGACTCAATTTTCTCCGTGTAAAATGGGGATAAAAACAGTTCCTACCTCTTATGCTTGCTCTAGTTATTAAATTAAACAACACATAAAATGTGTGTATAGATGAGACAGAGAAAATTATTACTATTTGACTATCATTATCACAGATGACAGATAGTAGAGATAGTATTGTTTAAAGTGTTTATGCCATTTTCATAGCCCTTGTATACGCACACACACTTGCATACACACCCTTTCCTTAATTTCAGCAACTTCTATCATTTGCATGTCTCTCTCCCCGCCCCCCCCTCCCCTCAATAAGGTTTAGTGGATGAAACTTACCCCTGGAGCAGCTTGGAAGCTCAGGCGCCCATGTATTGTTGGCCTGGCATTGCACAGTGTTGGACCCTTTCATAACAAAACCAGGCTGACATCTGAATCTCACCATGTCATTTAAAGAGAATAAACTCCTATTTCCTGATGCTCTAATCCCATTTTCAACTTCTGGAATTGTGCATTTATTAGCAGAAATACACTGAGGAGGAGGGCTGCTCCAAACACCAAGTTGACCATCTTTGCTGATACAATATAGAAATTGTTCTCCCATGAGGTCAAACAGCTTTTCTCCATTCGGCCCAGTGTGACATCGATAAGTTACCAGTGTTGCATATTGGAAAACATTTCTATTGCTGCTGTAGAAGTCTCCGTTGAATATGGCTGGGGGCGGCTCACAAGATATCCCTGGGACAAGAAAGAGTATGGTAAACAACACCTCAATTTTTAATTTTTAAGATAATTGCATAGTGTTATTCTGGGTTCTGGGCAAAACTGAGGGGAAGGTACAGAGATTTCTCATTTACTCTCAGCCCCTACACATGCATAGCTCCCCCTTTATCAGCAGCCCCCACCAGAGTGGTATGTTTGTTACAATTGATGAACCTATATAGATACATCATAATCACCCAAAGCCCATAGTTTACTTTCAGATCACTTCTGACGTTCTATATTCTGTGGGTTTGGACAAGTATATAATGGTATGTATTGATCACTGTGGTATCATGCAGAAAACTTTTACTGTCCTAAAAATCCTCCGTGTTCTGCCTACTAATCCCACCCACCATTCCAACCTCTGGTGACCACAGTTTTCACTGTCTCTGTATTGCCTGTTCTATAATATTTTTTTACAATGACTTTACTAAGAATTTAAATAACAAATAAAAATAATCAAATTATTTCCCAGAGTGTACCTAAATATTACTAAATAGCACTAAAAAACTATTATTTTCTTCTAATATTTTCTAATAATCAGACATGTTTACATAATTAAAATTTAGGTGTGTGATATTGATTCTATTTATAATAATTGTTATTGTAAAAATATCCATGTATTATTATGGTTTACATATTTGTGATTTTAACTGGATAATCTATATGATTTTTATCATAGATTGTTATTAACTTATTGCTGGGCTATTGTTTTCTATTGGCTATTTAATAACATCTTTGCAGGTTAAATACACCACTTCTGGAACTACTCATCAAGAAGAGATTAAAATGGAGCATTTGAGACTTTGCTCCCCTCATATGTCATCAAAGGAACTCTTATAAAGAATAAATTTTTTAAAAAAAAGAGGAGAGAGAGTGAGTGATGTCAGCATCTTGGTGGTGTGAGTTATTGCTTTTTTTCTCTCCTGTTTTATTTACAACTCACCAGTCATACATAACCAAACAAAAGTGCCCCTGCACGTTGTACCAGAATACTCAGGAGATTTCCACCCCCACCCATTCAGAAGGTAAGTGGGTAGGACCATGGAGTGGGCAGTGGATCTATCTGGTTCAGTGAACGTACCACAAACTGACTAGTAGTAATTGCAAAACAATGAACCTGTAAAGTGCAAAACATGGTGAAGGAAGAATGTATGGAGGTTCAGCCAGCCTCAAGGGACAATAAGACACTCCATTGAAGCGGGGTATAGATGAATTGGGAGGCAGAAAAGAGGAGTAGCTCAAGGACTCTTAGGACAACACCACAACATATTGGGTTTTCACTGTTGTTGACAGTAGTGACCTCCCTCATAGAGGAGTGCTAAGGCAATAGTTGTATTTATCGAGAGGGTATTTGGATAAAGCAGCCAGTGATGGATTGCCCAGCTGTACAGGTCTCATGGATTTCTGAAGGTAACTTCTGTCTCTGGGTGTAGGGCAAGGAAAGGAAAAGAGGCAGGCAAGAATGACAAAGGATATTGAAGGAACAGGCCCTGCTGTCACTTTGGAATTTCAGCAGAGGTCTGCCCTCCCACCTCTGGGATCCCCCTACTGGGCTGTGGGTAGTCACAAAGCCTCAAGTGTTAGCCACATTTTCCCACTCTGCCACCAGTTTTTTATACGCCAGGTTTTTTTCTTCCTTTTTGTTTTTCCCCCCATTTTCCCCATGCTCCCCAGTGCAGCCCAACAGCCAGGTCAGGTAAAGAGAAATTAAAAACATGAATTATAGTGCCTCCATTTGGAAAACAAAAGAATGATTTCTAATCATAGAATTGTACACCTGAGACCTATATAATTTTATTTACCAATGTCACCCCAATAAGTTCAATTAAAAAGAGAAAATTATTTTAGAAAAGAAAAAATTATATAAAATGTAAGGCATGAGAAATGAAATAATCATTGATTCAGGGGTAATAAAATAATAAAAGAGTATTATGTCCTATTAGAAGATAATACTTTAAAAAATATTAGTATATGTGACTACACACACATTCA